AGACAGACAACCAAGCACACTCACATTCACACCTACGGACAATTTAGAATCACCAATTAACCTCAACATGTTTTTGGACCTTGTGGGACGAAGCCAGAGAACCCAGAGAGAACCCACGCTGCATGTATAGAACATGCAAACTCACCGGGACGTGAACCTATGATCTTCTCGCTGCGAGGCAACAGTGCTACTAACTGCGCCACCTTGCAGCATGCCAGAACCATTATGGGCCAAACTTCAAAGTCACATTGTGGCATTACTAGTGGGCTGTTGGTTGGACCACTTCGCCAAAAACTAGTAGACCATAAACACTTGTCAAAAAGACATAATTCAACTTTGGATTTTTTGCAATTTGTGCTGCCTTAATGAAGGTTTCCTCAACAGCTTCTCCAAAACTGACTCCACATGCTTTAAATGCACAGTCGGTCCAGTTAAACTACATTTTGTGTCTCCTCTGTAGTTTCGCACCTACACCATCAAGGCAGGGAAAGGTGGCGGAGCTGTTCCCCTGATCCTGTGTGACACGATGGGGCTGGAGGAAAACCCTGATGCTGGTCTGGACGTTGAAGACTTTGTCAGCATCTGCAAGGGTCACATCAAGGATCGCTACCAGGTCTCCTATTTAACCCACTTGCATACATCGTTGTGTAACAGTGCAGGCTGCTGACTGACGAATATGTTTTTTTGTCCTTCAGTTTAGTACGTCTGGGCCCCTCGTGGCAGATGCTCCTGGCTATAGGAAGAGCGCGTCTTTGAGCGACAAGATCCACTGTGTGGTCTATGTGGTGGACACCTGCAAGGCCTCACTTCTCAGCCAGAAAATGCGGGACAAGTTCGCTGCCATCAGGAAGAAAACCAACCAGCTGGGTTAGCAGTAGAATGAGATGTTTTCAGGAAGAGTCCAAGCATGTATCTGGATATTCTTATCTGCATGTACTTCTCATATATCAATACTACAGACATTTCAAATGTGTGATACTACTCAGCATTACTTTTTTGAAGGAGTTATTCCATCCCAAATCCTCAGGGTCCTTCTGCTCAACCATCCCTGGTTAGCTTGAAACTTAAAAAAATAAAAAAATCATGTTTATATTTATCTTTAAAAAGGCATCTGTGGATTTTTTTTAATTGATATTTATATACTTTCCAAAGTAATTAAGAGAAAGCAGTAAAAAAGCCTATCCACCCACTTTCAGCACATTTTTAATGCACAATAATTTGATGCCATATTTGAACGACAATATCTAAGGAACTATTAAAAATAAAAGCCTGAAATGCTCACTTTTATTTTCTTATTATGCCATTGATCTTAATTATAGTTGGAGAACCAGTTTGAAACTTCAGAACACAGTTTTTCTTGGATTTTTTTTAATGTGGTTCAACTTGTTCAACTTGGCTCAGTTATGAAAGTTACACAAAAACAATTTGATTTTTCATTTTTGTGTCAAAGTATCTCATGTCAAAAAGCATATATGTATATATGTATGTATATATATATATATATGTTGTTTTGTATTATTATGATGTGTATGTCCATGTGGTTCAAAAGAGTTTCGTTGACTTCTGCAGTATTTTCTTCTGATAATGTATGCTCAGATATAATTTAATCCATTTGTCCAGTATTGCAGATTCTGAATCGCTGCCATAATGAGAAATCACTGTGAATACTTCAAACGTTTATCTTTAGTAGTTCCTGAGATACTGTTGTTCAAACTTGGCCTCATATTTCACAACCTGAAAAGATGTTGGTCATCAGGAATCCTTTTCCTGCTGAAGCACAGATTTTGTTGCTGTTTTAATGATGGTATAATGAGTCAGTCAGCATTCATCTTGTGCTCTTCTCTGTTGTCTTGTCTTCATCAAGTGATTTGGCTCTGATTTCTTTCCTCTTCTGGCCCCTTGTTAGGAATTCCTCAGATTCTGGTGATGACTAAAGTGGACGAGGCCTGTCCGCTGGTGGGAGAGGACTTGAAGAATGTTTATCGCAGCGTTTACATCCAGAAGAAGGTGATGTTTTTCTTGTGATTTACCATGCAAGTTAGAAATGTACTGTGGTGGCATTAATTCATCTTTGTGTATTTGTCTGGTTTCCATTCAGGCCCGTGAGCTGAGCGGGTCTCTGGGCATCCCTTTGAGCTGTGTGCTGCCGGTGAAGAACTACAGCCAAGAGCTGGAGCTGGACCAGGACACTGACACGCTGCTGTTTACTGCTGTGGAGCAGATGCTCCACTACGCCGACAGCTTTTTTGAAAACCAGGCTGTCGAGAGTCAAGACGAAGATGAAAAGCTGGAGCTCTACCGATCCAATGAGAAAAACATTGTCTGAAAATCAGAGGAAGCGATAAGACTAATGAGTCCATTAATCTGATACACGGCACTGTGCAAAAGTTTCTGGATATTAAATTCTTAGTGAGGTTTCTGGTGCATCTAAAATTCATTGTGCTGTGTGCTATGGCTAGAATCACAAAGAACTAAACTATCTTTTAAATTATCTTCAACAACAAAACATACAAGTAGAAACAGCGACACAAGTTAAATCCTCAGAAGAACTGTGGCAAGTTCTCCATGATGAAGGAAATGATCTGCAAAATTCATATAAACGCCATAAAATAGCTGTTTTTTCTTATTTTCTACATTTGGTAAAAAGTTAATTTAGTGAATGATTGAACAGTGTTCATGGTCTTATTTTTGAAAGCATCTTTTCTGAAAATGTGCACAGTACTGTTTTTTTTATTTTCTATTCTGGGGTCTAAGGTTACATTCACTTCTAAAAAAAAAAACTGCCTGGTACTGATAGTAATCCTTAGTGGACACAGATTTTGTTTTTTCCAGCAGATTGTTGACTATTACATTTCAATGCTTTGAGGTTAAAGTTGAGCTCAGTTACCGTTAAGTCCATCACTGATATGACGCTCCAGAGATGCCACTGAGCAGACTTTGAATAGAGATTATTCAATCAGCTTCCAAGATCAAGAATGAACTTTGACACCTTTGCAACACCGTGGGTGAAACGTCTTCACTGTCTTTGCTAAACTGGCTGGACTTTGAGGTGAGATTTGTGTTTCAGCTTTGAGTTCCAGATGTCTCGAAACATTTGCAAATGAAAAACTTTTTCTTGTTTTTTTCTCTTCTTCTGCTGAACTGAAAACTCAAAAATGCTGGTGCAGCTTTGTGCAGGTTTACACACTTGGTGTCATTACACATGAGCAAATATGCCTGATGGAGCTTGTTTTTTTCTTTCTTTTGTTATGCATAAAGGTCTTGCTTGTACAAGTGCAGCTGTTTGGAAAGCTTCAGTCTCATGTGACTTTCAGTTTTACAATAGAGGGACGGTTACGTGTGGAGACTTTCATTTTTCAACCACTAGATGTCACCCATAGTTTCATAATCACTGGTGTTGTGGAAACTTGATGTTATGAAAAAGATAAGAAGCTTATGTTTGCATAATGTTGTCTGAAGGTGGATTTGTAGTTTTTTTAAATTCTCATTTACAGCTGGATTTCTGTATAATCATATATTTCCTTGTGCAGAATGCCTCCTCTCACTCAGTCAGAATGACAAAGCAGATACACTTTCGTCTTGTAATCACTTAATGTAACCAAACAAATAAACCGACGAGTCCACATGACGAAGAGAGACGTTGCTTTTCGTTTGAGCCAATTGTCGAACTCGGGTAGTTTCGGTGCCGCCCTCCTCGCGGCTCCGGTATAAAGTCTGTGGCGCAACGTTGCCAACAACAAAACGCACCAACTCGCCCGCAGAGGCTAGACGCACTTTGGGACTATTCAAGCCTGCGGGACCGTACTTTCACGCTGTTTACGCACCGGGATTAATTTGTGATTCGCAAAACATGATTCCTGAGGAGAGCTTCGGCGCCATCGAGAACAGGTGAGAGTTGTGGCTCGGTTTTTACGCACGGAGAGTTGCAGCGTTTGGTCCGTCTGAGCCATGTGCACGCAGCTCGTGTGCCGGACAGGAACGCTTGTCGTTCTTTGAACCCTGGAATTACCTGAACTGCTGATGCTGATGTAATTAAACCTCTGTGTGTTTGCGAGCTTGGATTTAAGACTTCATTTGGCAGAGATTTGCAGCATCTCAGTGATAGAAGCGCTACGATTTTTTTTTAAGCCATAAAAGGCGAAATTCTAAGTTGATGCATGAATTATTTTGAGCTCGGGTCACATGATTTAAAAATATGATACTTGAGCAGCACTATGCATGCATGCATGTATGTTGCACAAACTGCAGCACTGCTCATTTAGACTGCATATGCATTCATGTAAAGTTGAATTTCCGTTTTTGCAACCAGCCCCATGCAACATGAAAACTAAGCATTTTATCAGACTTTAGATATAAAAAGTAAGGCATTGACTAAGTAATATGTCCATTTTGGGCAAAAAAAACAATTCAAAATGTAGTTTCATTGCAGAATACAAAAGGCTAATTGTTCTTTTTTTCTTCCCCCTCAGGATGCAGTCTGTAGGCCTGGCTCTGGAGGAGTTGCTGGTAACAGCTCAGAAACAGGACTGCCTCACTGTGGGCATCTATGAATCAGCCAAACTTCTCAATGCGTGAGTGGAAACTTATCAAATGTGGCTTTATAATATCTCTAATGTTTTATATATGCTTCTCCTATATTCCTGAGAGTAATACTTCCCAGTTTAACTTTCCCAAACATGTGACTTTAAGTTATTTTTTTTTCCTCCTCAGAGATCCGGACAGTGTGGTGCTGTGCGTCCTGGCAGCCGACGATGAAGACGACGTGGCGCTGAAGATCCACTTCACGCTGCTGCAGTCCTTCTGCTGCGATAGCGGCATCACCATCCTGCGAGTCTGTGGGGTTCGGCGGCTCCAGCAGCTGCTGGGTGCCGTGGATGTCAACAGGAACCAGGAGGAGTGCGGAGACCTTCACTGCATTCTGGTTACGGTGCGTTGACTCAGCACAACAGCTCATTGCTTATGTAACTGAGAGGCCAAAGTGGAAGTGTATTTTTATTACAGGTTCTTGTGATGATCGAACTGAAATGTTCCTGCAACCTACTGGAAGTTTGAACTTCATTTGCTTCTTTCTTCCGTGCAGAACCCTCAGGCAGACCACTGCAGACTACAGGAAGTGGGGATCTACTGCCAGGAGAGTCGGCGCCTGGATCAGTGGGTGCCTGAACTGGTCCTGCAGGAGCGCTGAAGGGTCTGCATACTCCAAAACAAAAAAAACCCCAAAAATAAACAAAACACAGCAGCTATCTGGGTCCAGATACTGATTAACTGAGGGGTCGTGATGCTCAAGCAGGGATGACCTGGAGTGAACTCGTCCCAGTGCACAATCCTGACTGATAACAAGCAGGAATCGAGGACTTCCTTTCAATGACAAGTGAAACAGTTGGACTGGAGTTTCTTGAATCTGTGTTTATGTGCAAAAGATGCAAACAGAAAAGCAGAATCAGGCCACATTGTGTTTTTGTTTTTTTTCCCACATCAGTATAACACAGGCTCAGCTTCTGTTTTGTGCTACTGTTTGGGTACTCACAATGTTTATGGGGTGTGGCATGGATCATTAAGAGGAGCATTAGCTTCGAAAGCAACGTGTCCACACCCCAGCTGGTACCTGGAAGACTTGGAATGTTGAAATGCTGAAACTATCCCTGACATTCCTGTGTGTTCAGATGTAGGAGTGTCCCAGGAGAGAAGAGGTGTGTGTGTGTGTGTGTGTCTATGAATGTGTGGTATGCATATACGATACTTGTATCTTTCTTTAGAAAAGACGGGGTGTGCAGCGTTCTTGAAATGAGCAGCTGAACCTGCGGAGGAATCGTCACCATGGAAACTGAAATGGAAATGATGTTGGAGTTGAAAAGGCACACAGGAATTACTGAGGTTGCAGATCCGAAAAACTGCAGATGGAGCTTTAAAGCACGATGTGTTCTTGGAAAAGTTCAAAATTCAGGAGGACACAGAGTGAACCGCCTTGTTTGTTCTGAACGGGTCCGCTTTAAATGATTGTACTGAAAAAAAAGAAACCACAGTCCTCTTTGTGCCTTCAAGAGTGTTTTGTAACTAATAAGTGGAGACACTGTTAATTTATTGATTGTATCAGTTGTATTTTTGTAGCTATTTGTGCTCTATAAAATAAGCCAATAAATTATTGTGTTCATAAATGGTTGACTGCTTTTTTTTTTTTTTTTTTCAAGGGGTTGCTGCTCAAATTTCAAAACAAACGGCATGTGTGCGTCATGGAACCAGCTGAGTCACGCAACTACATTCACACTGAAGCAATGGAAAATGCGTGCACACTTTGAGCAAAGTATTCGTCACTGACAGTCTTGTTTTTCTGTTGTGGTAAACACAAGTCAGTCAGGTTGAAACCGGTGTGGAGGCTTTTTGTATCTGAAGAAACGGGCAGAACAAGTTGATTCAGACTTACTGTCCCCGCTTGTTAGGAAGCAGGACGGAAAGATGCACGCTAACTGTCGAAACTTTCTGCCAAAGCTGCATTCCAGCTGTGTGCATGTATGTGTTACATCATATAATGCAGCTAAAGCCCTCTGAAAACATGTTGCACGCAAGTGTGCATGCGAGTGTTGGTAACCCCTCCCATGCCACTGTGTCTCCACTTGATCCCGGTATCTCCTCTTGTGTTTTGCTCTTTACTCCACCCTCTTCTCTCACATGTCTGCTCACAGCTCCGACTGCAGAGCTCAGGAGAGAGGAACATTCAGGCACATGGACCTCCCATTTGTTTACAATCTGCCGGACAGAGGAGTGCCTGCTGAGGTGGACGGACTTCTAATTGGCTGTGGCTCGTCCACCCTAAACCTGATTGGCTGTGACTTGCAAGAAAAGGGTCTGGGCAGGGTTGCGTGGGGGGAGGGAGGGAGTGTGGTTTGAAACTTGTAGAAGGCTCGTGACTGTTGAGCTGCAAAGGGCACAGAGGAGGCCTGAGACAGAAGAGCTGCAACAATGGCATTCCTGTTAAATGACCCAACTGGGAGGATTTACCTTTAGCTTTGTTTGCTCTGTTTGGTGCATCATGGTTTCATCTCTTGCTCTGCACATCGTGTACCCATTAGTCCAGGGAGCATGTGTGTGCATGAGCACTGAATAATTTTACAGTCATTGCAAGAAAAAGCCTCCTATTCAGCCTGAACAAAAAAGAAAGAAAAACCAAAGAAACCAACAAAGTGCAGCTAATAATTAACAGCAGTCTGCAGCAGTGAAGGCAGACCTTTGAGGCTGTACTGAACTTAATGCTGCAAACATGCTGCTATAAAGTTTGCAGTGTTTACCGTCATAGTTTAGGGTATTATCATGCTGACATTTGCTCAGCATGCTTTATAATATGTTAGAGTTGAAACCAGAAGTTTACATACACTATATAAAAAGACATGTAACCTTTTTTTCCTCACTGGCTGACATTAAATCAGACTAAACTTTTCCTGTTTTAGGTCAGTGAGGATTACCAAAATTATTTCTATTTGCTAAATGCCAGAATAATGAGAGAGAGAATACTTTCAGATAATTTTTTATTACGTTCTTCAGAGACAGAAGTTTACATCCACTAAGATGCCTTCAAACTATTTGGGAAAGCCCAGATGATGATGTCATGGCTTTGGAAGCTTTTGATAGGATAATTGACAACATTTGAGTTAATTGGAGGCACACCTGCAGATGTATTTTAATCTAAACAAATTAGCCAAGTATGAGGAAGAGAACTGTGGACCTCCACATGTCTAGTTCATCTTTGGGTACAATTTCCAGATGCCTTAATTTTCCACGTTCATCTGTTCAAACAATTATTATGCAAGTATAAACACCATGGGAATGTCCAGCCATCACACCGCTCAGAAAGGAGACGGTTCTGTGTCCCAGAGATGTGAGATGAGAGTGTTTTGGTGCAAAATGTGCGTATCAACCCCAGAACAAAAGCTAAAGACCTTGTGAAGATGCTGCTGAAGCTGGTCAGAGAGTCATTATCCACAATGAAACAAGTCCTGTACCGACATGGACTGGAAGACTGCTCAGAGAGGAAGAAGATGTTACTCCAAAAGCACCATAAAAACATCAGATTACAGTTTGCAAATGCACACAGGGACAAAGAGCTGAGTTTTTGGAGACATGTCCTGTGGTCTGATGAAACGGAAATTAAACTGTTTGGCCTTAATGACCATCGTTACATTTGGAGGAAAAAGGGGGAAGCTTGAAGCCTGAGAACAACATCCCAACTGTGGAGCACGGGGGTGGCAGCATCATGCTGTGGAGGTGTTTTGCTGCAGGAGGGACTGATGCACTTCACACAATAGATGCATCATGAGGAAAGAACAATATGTGGAAATATTGAAGCAACATCTCAAGACATCAGCAGGAAGTTAAAGCTTGGGTGCAAATGGGTCTTCAAATGGACAATGACCCAAAGCATACCACCAGAATAGTTACAATGTGGCTTAAGTACAACAAAGTCAATGTTCTGGAGTGGCCTTTACTAAGCCCTGATCTCAATCCTGTAGAAAATTTGTGGGCAGAGCTGAAAAGGCGTGTGGAGCAAGGTGGCTTACAAACCAGACTCAGTTCCACCAGTTCTGTTGGAGGAATGGGCCAGAATACCAGCAAACTATTGTGAGAAGCTTGTGGAAGGAAACCCAAAACATTTGACCCAAGTCATACAGTTTAAAGGCAACGCTACCAAATACTAAGAAAATGTATGAAAACTTCTGACTTTGAAGAAAGTAATAAAAAAATCTCTAAAAAATATTCTCTCTCATTATTCTGGCATTTAGGAGACAGAAATAATTTTGGTAATCCTAACTGATCTAAAACAGGGAAAGTTTAGTCTGATTTAATGTAAATGTCTTTCTTTCTTTCTTTTTCAAAATTTCTCAATAATTTTAGAAGCAATTTTAGCATTTTAGTCTGGACCAAAGTGGTAACTTAACTGACAGTACAATCACACAGTGCTGTTAACACGGGTAATACATGAATAAAATTAAACAATAATAATAAAAAAGACACAAAAGTGTGTGTTATTATATCATCTTTTTATTAATGTTATCTACTTCTCAATATCGTCTTTTTTTTTAACAGCAATATCCACAAAATATTAACAGTGTGCAAGAAAACATGAGTTATGGCACATCAGAGAACAGTTACAAAAAATAGATATATTTTCTTCATAATCAATCAAGGCAAAAAGATACATATACTGTATGCATACACAGGAGATCAGAACACAAAAGATGAGTCTCAGGAAGGGCTCAGAGCCAATTCAGTGATGTTTGATATGAAAGTCCACCAGCGAGGAGCCTCAACTCTCCTCGCCGGGACCGGACGTGAATATCGCCGGGCTCGCTTTGTGTCACAGCACACCAGCGGATTTCCATCTTGAGCCACGTTAAGACCATTCGTTCTGTTGATCTGATAACCCCAAGACCAGCATTAACACAATATACGCCACTATAAGGCAAACTAACAACCAATCAGTCGGACAAACCGTCGGCCAAACCAGCAATTCAGGCCGGCTGTCTCTGATTGTAGCCCAACCAGGGATGGAATGATTGAAAAACAACAAAACAATGATGATAAAAAAATAGCATATGTCAGGCATTATCAGGACAACATCAGTGTGTGCATGTATGTATGTGTGTGTGCTGATATGATATGCATGCTTGTGTTATTTAGTGTGAAACCTCTGCATTTGTCGTCCTATTTGACTTTATCTTGCAAAGAAATGACAAGGAACAAGATTTCTTTTTCTCTTTCCTGAATCTTGCGATACTTTAGGAATACGTAAACTTGCCCCAGATGAGTAAATCTGAGTTACTTCGAACTTCTCGCTGCAGATTTGCTTTCTATCCCTTCAGACAAAATAATGGAATTTTTTGCGAAGGGATAGTTTGATGATACCTCTTTCATGTCTGATGCCATGTTTGCTAAATCCAAAGCTACACCCAGCAGCAGGTTAGAAACAGCCCGAACCAGCACGTCTGAAGCTCACGACTTCATGGCGATGGTGAGACAGCAAGGAGATATACAGTAGCATGTTAATTAGCGAGCAACAGACGACTGCAGGAAGGCGGATCTTGTTACCATTTTACAGAGTCAGATAAGTTAACCAGCTGTTGGATTTAGCTTTGAGCAGACAGACAAAAAAAAGTGCCATAGAGCAAATATGCAAATTTCTCCAAATGCCAAGCTTTGCCTTGAGGTCTCTAAGGCTTGAATGAGTGCTAAAAAATAACCTGTAGCTAAGACCAGGGCTTAAAAAAGCAAAATAAAGCCCCCTTAATATTGTAAATGCATCAGCTTTGTGATTATCGGTCATCACATCAGAAATAACTCCAGCTGAACAATTTTAGCTCCTTTTTTTTTCTCACATGGGCCTCCGACTGATCAAACGAGCGAGCGGAGGCCGTGCGAGCTGCTCTGACTCGTGGTATCACGTGACCTCTCCTGTGGTCCGACTAACCCTGACCTCGACCTGCGGAGCTGCAGCGCTGCACCGCGGCACTGGAGGCGCTGTGTGTTCTCACACTGTGTTTCTCCCACACACACACACACTGACCACGCACACTCACACACACAAATGCGTGCGCCTCTATTTTTCTCCTCTCCGCCTACTGCTCTGCCAAATCATCCTTTTTCGGCTCCCAAACAGCAGCACCCACACATGCACACAAACTCACACACCCTCAGCCCTCTCTATGGCCTTTCTCCAGCTCCTCAAATGGCCTGTTCCCTCTCTCGCTCGCTCTCTCTCTGTCTTTCTGCTTGGAACAAAAGCAAATGAGAGATGAAGCGAGGCTTTGTGTCAGGAGCAATCGCCTACGGTGATAAAACAGAACAGCTAATTAGCGAGTGAATCATTAAGTTGTGTTTTTTTTTAAAGGGCGTTTTGGGGAAAATATGCAAATATTTCACTCTGAGAGCTGGAAAACATACAGCCTGGCTCCGTGTGAAGGTAACAAAAAAAATCCGCCGATCGACACTTCTAAATCCTGCAAAACTGCAAATTGTCAGTTTTGCACGGACGGATTAAACAAACAAAATATAACGTGTTAATTAGCACGCTTTAGAGGTGTCGGTAAATAGAGAGATAGCACTAAATCGTGTAGTATCGAGGGTATGTTTGCAGGGTGTCCCCAGCGGACTGTCTGCTTTGAACACAGATTTGTGCAAACTCTCCAACAACTTTTTGCCACCTCTGAAAATCTCCATAAAGTCAGTGTAGCAGGTGGATCATGTTGATCCAGTGATATGACAACAGGAAAGCAAGTGGGATCAACCCCAAAGACGGTCCGTCAGCAGTCAGAAGTCCTGTCCACCCCGCTCTGTCACCGTACGCAACAACAACCTCAGTTAAATGCGACACATGACGGCACAAAGCTCCCTTCTCTCAGCAAGTTTAACCATCAAAACTTTAACCTTTAACCCTAAAACCTGAAAAGCACCTGCAAGAGAGAGTGTAGGCGTGTATAGATCTGTGTGTGTTGTCCCAGTTGCCCAAAACTCAACACTTGAGAGGGAAAAAAAAAAAAAAATGTAGGTGATAAAGGACAGATCAGGAGGTTGGTTTTTTTTGCCACTGGAATGAGGTCAGATGTTGATTCATCCTCTTAGCAGGACGTGATCCTACACCTAACAGGGGCCGTTTCTTTTTTTTTAGTTTCTGGTACACTATTTCATCCTCATCAGTTGTATTTCTATCCGTGGTAGAAAACCAACCTCCGCCATCACAAGGCTCTAAAACCTGAATGACAAAAGAAAAAAAGAAAAAGAAGACAGACATGATTCTGACTGACAGAACAGAGTAAGTAGTTACTTAAAGAAAAAAAAACTAAAAAACCCAACATCCACAGAGGGGAAGTCTGTGTTTAGATTTTGTATCTTACAAACACTGTACAGGGTAATACTCAACTGACCAGGTTCCATGGACTCCATAGAAAGAAGAAAACTGAAAAAATAAAACCCGAAAACAGCTACTCTTCAACTTATCACTTCTGCACATGTCGGAAAGAAAGTTTATACACTTAGTTTGTTTCTCTTAACTTCGTTTTTTTCTTCTTCTTCTTCATCTTCAGTTTTTACAATCAAGTTTGGTTTGTCAGAGGAGGAGGAGGAGGAGGAGGAGGAGGAGGAGGAGGAAGAAGGAGGAAGGACGACACAGAAAGGGGGACCGCCGCCTCCGACCGATCCAGTCCGAACTCACGCTACAGTGAGCTGTTAAACTGGGGAGACGTTTAAAGCCAGGCAATCTGATTTATAGCCAAAATTATTATGCATTAAAACAAGATTTTATCCAAAGAGGCAAACAAAACAAACACCTCCATCTATGCAGACTCTCCATTTTATCTCTTCCTTCCCTTCACCTTACAGAAACCGACAAATGTGAGCTGAGAAGGTGGAAGGTGGCGCCTTCATTTCTACTTTTTTTTTTTTTTTTAAAAATATCTCCTCCAGCCTTACAGTCCTTGCTAGACTGATTCCCCCCCGGTGTGGACGGTCTGTGAACCTCGCCCTCTCTCGGGGTAAAGCACAGGGAGGCTTGTTGTACAGTAGAAACCTTTGTTTAAGATCTGATGTAGGTATTACCCCTGGCTCACAACCAGATCTCCTGTTATAATACAAGCAGGAAAAGAAACCTGATCAGCCAGAGGCAACACCTATGTCAAAGCAAAACAATCGGGAAAAAAAAAGTACAGTATTATCTTATCTGTTAAGTAATGCTTCAACAAAAAAAATATCTAAACATACATTGAGTTCACAAACAAGTTAAGAAAAGTGCAGTAAACGTCCGCGGTTAATAGCTTGAGTTCTATGTAGAGCCGTTCACTGTGTTCTTTTCTCTCATAGGTGCAGATTTGGAGTCAGGATTAGATTTCCAAAAGCGACAGCAGATCGGCATCTAGAGACGACTTATCTTCTTTTTTTTTTTGTACAGGTTGGCACAGCTGGAGGCTCGGCCAAAGGCTGCAGACAGCCATAGTGAGGCCACAGGCAGAAAAGGTCTGTTGATACAGGTTTTGGGCGGGAACATGCTATAAGTCCGATAAAGGCAAAGGGCTTTAGCCACTTGCTCCAGAATCACCCGCCATGATTTATCGCTAGCAGGTTCGAGGACAAAGCTCTCTCTTCTTTTCTTTTCTTTTTTTAACTCCCGTAGAAAAAAGAAGCATTTGTCGAGCTTTTAATAGGACACCGGGTCGTGTTTGGCACGGTCGGCCTAGCGCCTACCACCCTTTTGCCCACGTACATCCTCCCACTCCCTGCCTATGGCACAGCTGATCATGCTTCACCCGACACCTCACTTCATGACAAAAGAACAGAAAAAAAAGAAAACACCGGTTTCCTACTGATTATTAATGTCCAAATCCCTTTTTTCAAGTTAAGCTGTAGTTAATTCACCAGCATATATGAATATTACCAAAGCACCTTGGATCATACTCAGTGATATACTGATCTCAGCCACCGTGAGCACGAGATACCTGCCCCCTAGCTGTGGCTCTGGGGTATGGCGCTTTTCCAGTGTGGCTATTTTAGGTGTGTGTGTGTGTCTATGTGTGGATATGCAGCCCTGTATGATCAGATAGGGTTGCTCACAGTTGTGTGTGTGTGTGTGGGGATGTCTGGAGATCTGTTCAGATAGTGAGTGTGTGTTTATGTGTGCATGAGTGTGTGTAAGTGTGTGTGTGTCTGTGTGTGTGTATGAGGGCAGGAAAAGCGGGGTGCAGCTATAGGATGATGCAGGGTTTCTTGTCCTTGAAAGGGTTTTCAGAAGTGGGCACCCCAACCAGCAGAGGGTCGCTACGAGCGTGCTGCTCACAGTAACTCATCAGGTCTGCTGCCGCTTTAGACACCTGACGAGGGCCGAGAGGGAGAGATGGGGGGAGATGAGGGAGGAGCAAAAAAAAGGAGATGGACGAGAACATTAAATGGGAAGAAATGTGGAGAGAAAACAGACAAATGGGAAGAAGGAAAAATGAAGTTGTGAGGAAGGGAAATAGGGAAGAAGGCCGGAAAGGGAAGGAAACAGGAGGACACGGGAAGATAAAGGGAGAAGGAGAGTCAGATGTGCAGTGAGCAATGTGAATATACTCCATGACTGCAAGAAAAAAACTACTACAGTAAAAGTTCACAAGTATTAGCAGCAAAATTTAGTTAAAGTATTGTATTAAAGTACTGGTTTGATCCCTGTGACTGATATATTATTAAATATAGCAGCACTGGATTATTAATACTGAAGCGATCGGTGTGTTCGCAGCATGTTGCAGCTGCTGCAGGTTCAAACTACTTTATGTCCAGCTTTATAAACAGAAACCAGAAAATAAATCTGTGGGGTCACCAGATGATTAATAGGAGAAAAAAGTAAGTTCTGATACACAAATCTGGTTTCAGTTTTAGCACTTTTTTTCTCCAATCTTTGATACATGGTGACATACTCCATCCATCCATTATCTACACACCGCTTAATCCTCACTAGGGTCATGGGGGGCTGGAGTCTATCCCAGCTGACTTAGGGCGAAGGCAGGAGACACCCTGGACAGGTCACCAGTCTATCACAGGGCTACACTTAGAGACAGACAACCAAGCACACTCACATTCACACCTACGGACAATTTAGAATCACCAATTAACCTCAACATGTTTTTGGACCTTGTGGGAGGAAGCCGGAGAACCCGGAGAGAACCCACGCTGCACGGGGAGAACATGGAGACTCCACACAGAAAGATTCCGGTGCCCCCACCGGGACGCGAACCGGCAACCTTCTTGCTGCGAGGCAACAGTGAGGCAACAGTGCTACCAACTGCACCACCTTGCAGCCCCATGGTGACATACTGGATCATATAAATATTTACAGAAAGGAAACCAGAAGCTCAGAGCTTAGGCCTAGTTTGACTTTGTCATTTTTGACAAGTTGGAAGACATTTTGGACTAATTTTTGTCCTTTTTGACATTCTTGGAGTAATTAAAGACACATTTCAAGGAATTTTGGACAACTTTATTGTCACTTTGGACAATTTTTTAAAGAATTTGACACAAATTTAAAGTCATTTTGTTCAGAAAAAAACAACAATTTCTTTGAAAACAGTGAACTGCGTTGTTCTAAGGCAAGTTTGCCTTATTTTGACTTTAACTGTCATTGCAGAAGGGCTGCACAGTGACTTGGTGGTTAGCACCGTCACCTCACAGCCAGAAGATCCTCGGTTCGCGTCCCGGTTAGGACATCTGGGATCTTTGCACAGTCTCCCTGTGCAGTGTGGGTTCTCTCTCTGGCAGTCCAATAATTAAGTGGGGGTTCTAAATCACATGTAGTGTGCTTGTTTGTCTCTCTGTGTAGCCCTGTGATAGACTGGCGACCTTCACCCTGAGGCGGCTGGGATAGGCTCCAGTCCCCCGGTGACCCTAGTGAGGATTAAGCGGTGTATAGATAATGGATGGATGGATGTCATTTTAGACATTGGTCAAAATGTGACAGTGAGCCACACATATCTTTTTGTAAGACATCAGGAGCGAAAAAGGTCAGAAACTGCTGGTTTGTTCTTCAACAATGTGTTATCTTATATTTAAAATGCTTCTTATATTGTCCATTGTGTTAAAACTTTATCCTAAAATGTCTGTGGCTGAGTGCAAATCTTCAAAACTGTACTTAAGTTCCACAGTTGAATATATATAGTTTCCACCACTGCCAGCATGGATGAATAATTATAACCACACATAATTTAGACACAAACGTGGCAGAAAACTGTTGTCTTTACCTTAATACGTTCAATCCCTGCCTCAATCCTCAGCTGTTCCACCAGTTTCCTGGCCTGGGCGATATTATTAGTGGTAGACATACTGATCCATCAGAATACACCAACACAGGAGAAAACTAGACGAGAGAGAAAGAGAGAGAGAAAATAAATACTCCAAAATAGACTTTTTGTTGTATTGTGCATGTATGTACACATGCAGTCGATCCTCTGTGTGATATCTCAGCAATGTTTAGTTTAGTCCATCACATTTATTTTTCAGGGGCCATTTTGCAGCGAACCATTGATCCTTTACCGCATCGTACCAGATTTAGCAACGAGCAAATTCCCTTCTGCTTTTCCTAAAACTTTCTTTTGCAGTAATTTTGCAATGTTCTGCACTATAAAGCTAAAAAACATCCCCCCAAAATACATAAAAGTTAAACAAATCAACAAAATAGCAAGACAACAAAATTAAACAGAGAATCAGTGAACTAAAGACCAACTTACTGATTCTTTTCCAGAGCTTTCAGCTGAGAGATAAAGCTGCAACGAGTGATTATTTTCATCGATGAATAATTGAAAGTTTGGTCTACAAGACGGCAGAAAAATATCAACCAGTATTTCCTGAAGCCCAAGAAGACGTTCTCAAACACCTTGTTTTATCCACAACCTAAAGATATTGAATTTACTGATATAGAGGAGTGAAGAAACCAGAAAATGCTTGATTTTGAGAAGCTAGAATCAGAGAATTGAGGCATTTTTCTTTAAAATGGACTCAGACTGATTAACGGATTATCAAAACAACGGCAACTTAATATAATAGTTCAGAACTAGTCGATTAATCATTGCAGCTCTACTCAGGGCTGCTCAAAAGTTTAGTTGAGATTTCTTTAGTGAAAATCCTATTTTAAGGTAAACTTTCACACTCAGGACACTGTTGGTTTTAGTTGCATTTGCATGAACAAAGTTAAATCGGTCGATTATTAGTAAAATGAGATTATTATTATGGGCTTGCAGTGCCCGTAAGAATCATATTTCACTATTAATTGGGTTTGTTGGGCGACACTGTAGCTAAGATTCAAAAGCTAAATCACTTCATTCAGAGGACTGTGTGACCTCAGCTGTGGAGCTACAGCTCCACTGTGAGGTGACCACGTGATGGTGCAACACAACCATGAGTGAAATATGGCGCTTGTCTGGTTCGAAATACAGTTTATGAAGGTGAGAATATATACAGATACAGTGCCACTAAGAATAGTGTTTGATATACAAAAAGGCAATTTAAAAAAATTAAAGTATCATCACATGGTACAAATAAAAGGATCGTACACTCATGTGTGAATAGGAACACACCTGGACATGACTGAGGTGCATTTAGGAATGAGGATGCTGTGATCCAAACATTTAAATAAGCAACATCTTAATGTTTTTTCCAGCCTCCAGGTTAAGAAAAGTTGGATTTAAGAGACTTTGCAGACTGAGTGGCACAGCAAAATGAAAAAATGGAGCATTACCTGACTGATGGCGTGCAGACAGGACCCTCTCTGAACACGAACGGATGAGGCGATCAGCGGGAAAGCAGTTGCCGAGTCAAAACGACAGAGCTGGACGGCGGCTGAGCTTACATTGGCTTGTCTCTGTAAAGGAAAAAACAGGTAAGAGATGAAGGAGTGAGTTAAGTGTTTAGGTTACAAACACGGCTATAAATGTTAGTTTGCAACATGGGGATCTGAAAAATACTGCTGGATATAAGATTTAGTTCCACATGGATGTGGAGTGAAGCCTGCATTAAAACGATCATTAGAATAAAACTCTTTATAGAGAAAAATCTGTTTACTATAGTTTGCTTTGAAGAGGGCCAAATTAGATATATCAATGATCAAAATATGAACACTGGTAGAATTCACTTCATTTCCAAATGATCATTTCTGTCCTCACTGCTTCATTTTCCTCCAGAAAACACCTGTAAGGCCACTGCACTGATCACATTCGTCTTCATTCAGAGTTTTTTTTCACATCATCGTGTCCAAAACTTATTGAAAACCCCCCACAAATCCCCAGCGTCTTTCATTCACACTCTGTTTTGGCACAGCATGGAAGTTTCCCCGTCGTTGCATATGATCAAAATACACCTCGCGCCTCACATACATCCGTCTGAGCGTGTTACCACTGTGTCTCTCACTCTGTCTCTCTGTCTGTCGCCCTCTCTCACAGGAGGAGAGTCCTGTTTTAATTACTCCTACTGTGGAGTAGCTCAGAGATTCATGTCTGTAATTAGGGCTTTTGTGTGCATGTGTGTGTGTGTGTGTGTGTGTTTGAGAGAAAGTGAAATAAGAAGTGAATGACGGTAGGTAACACCTTGACAAAATTCTCTTTCTAATTATTCTCCTTATGAAGACATTCATTGATTGTTGCCTCAATTTAACCCCAATTTTAAGCCCTCATCTTAATCTTAAACCCGAACTCTAATCCTAACTCGACCCTTAGAGGTCAAAGGTCAGCACTTTAAAAAAGATTTTCACATTCGCGAGCTTGTTTTTGATCCACTTATACGGACGCTTCAGATGCATTCTTGTCACAACTTCCTCCTCAGTTTAGAGAATTCAGCAACTTTTTTTTGGATAAAAACTGTCTCATATTTTTAAAGGCCTGTTAATACTAGAGCATAGCAGAAAGAAAAAAAAGAAAAGGCCATTGTTTTGGCAAATTAGGGCACATAGCTCTTATTGCATTAGCTTCCTTTACTAGTAAGAAGTACAAGCTGCAGCACTGATATCATTGATTCTGGTGCTTGTGTTGCTTATCATCGGAGTCAATTTTGAGGCCTTTTTTTGGACATCCCCAAGAAGACAGCAACTTTTAACACCAAAATCTAAAGTTTTATCTCATCTAGAATCTACTCTTGCAGCCATGTGTTTCCTCTCCTCAAACTAACATCAAACCTCTCGTTATACATCGATTTACACATTTACATGCTTCTAGACTTTCTGTAGTGACTGTTAAGGTGATTAACCTTTCAAGCACATCATTTCTACAGATTCTTATCCAGCAGGGGAAACACAAAGCATCGTTTCTGTTCCATAGGCAGCACTTCTTGTGATATTCTTGCGGCAGCTCGGATGTGAACGTGTGACTTGATGAAAGTCCCTAAAATGTGTTTATTAGCACAAACACCTGTTCCATCACAGCATACTCCTGGCTTCTCATTACCTCTCAGGGTTCAGCGAATGTCCCCAAGTCACCCCACATGCAGCATCATCCAGCAGAAGAATATGAATATGCCACAACAAACACTGACAAGCTGAGTGCTACTAATGTGCTCTAACTGTGGACTCTTTGTTTACAAGCTGCTGACAGAAATTGAAGTTTTTATATGCTGTCATGTGGCACACTTTTAGGAAACGTGCAGCCGAATAACTTCATCTACACTTTGGATGCTGTAAACCTTTTCTCAGCCTGTTGATTTTTCAAACTTTTCTCTACTATGGCGCAGAGAAGCTTTGAGAAAAATACAGCACAAACAGGAATCTCTGCCCCTCCAGAGCCACAGCTCTCCTCTCCTCCTGCCTCTCCAAATTGAAAACATCTCTTGTTGCACGGAAGGAAAAAAACAAAACAGGCAACATATACAGTAACCTGGTCATTTGTCTTGGCTTAGACCTAAAATAACATCACCAGAGCTGGTCAGGCCCAAGCAGCCGGCCAACCAACCGAGCAGCGAGCCCACGGAGGCTCTCAAGACGCGCAAAAATGCATCAATCCTTATTGATCCTCGCAGCTCCTGAGCGCCGATCGGGCCTACAGTACGGAGCCATGTCCTCTGCTATAGGCCCTGCTCGCTGCTCTACCGTGTGAAAACACAATGCGGGCATTTTGATGGATAGAACAGCATGTCCTCTCTCTCCCATGGCTATCCACGCACCGCACCACACATCGCCAGCATACACACGCATACGCACGGGCGCGCAGGCACAGGCAGACCTTGTGCACATTATCAAAGATATTTTTTTTTCTTCTTCTTTCCTCCAAGTGGAGACCAGACTAGACCAGCTCCGGCTCTGCAAATAGGGCCCTGACTGTTAGCCGTGGGAGCAGGGTGGTGACATGTTTGGAGAGGAGGCAGGCTCTCCAAGCAGCCAATATAAACCCCATCCAGCGACAATGGGCACAAGACCGGAGCGCATGCCGTTATGTTCCGCTATTATGCAAATTGATGAGGGGCCTACTTCGGCACATAAGATCCAGTAAGCTGTAGGCTCCTTCAAGAGTCCAGCCGAGCATGTAGGAAATCTTCCACTGACCCTGTCCCCGGTCCTCCCCACCCTCTCTGCCGGCAAAGGGCTGGGGAAATCCGGATTCGTGACACTGATGAAGCCCCTCTCTCCGCTGCAGCCGCCCTCGGTGGCGAGAAATCCCGGGTTTGTTGGAAGCGCACAGAGGCGTTACAATTATCATACACAAGGAGGAGGGGAGGGTTAAAAAAAATAGCCAAATTTCTCCAAAACTCACCTCCGAATGCGCTTGTATTGGTGATTTAAAGGGCCAGATCCGCTGGTTTCCTCACCCTCTCCTGCTCGTTCACTCCCCGTCTTCACCGAGCCAAACGCCTCCCCCTCCGTTACCAGTGTCTGTCCACTCCTCTACCCCTCCTCCTCCCTCCCTCCCTCCCTCCTTCCTTCCCTCCCTTCCTCCCCTCTCTCCTCCTTCTCCCTCCCTCCATCCGATCCGGTGACAGCAACCCAGGGGCTCCCGATCCAACGTTTTTCAAACACACATTTACATCCACACCGACTGGATGCATCCTCCAAACCAGAGGATTTCAATGCGCACATTGTCCAGTTTCATCCTTAAAAAAACAACTAAATATGCTGCTGTCGTCTATATTTATGGGGATTCCTGGTGTCCTGAAGGCACCTCTGGCCCTGAGAGTTTGGAAATGTTAGTGGATGCTGTGATTGGTATGAATGAGAGTCAAAGTTAATTAAGAAAATGTCTCCATTCATTAAAGAAGCTCAAAATAAACTGTAAGACACCAGGCAGCTGCATTTTGCACAACAGCAGATCTAAACCCTGATCTTTTGTTTACAGCAAATTCTGTCTGTTGGCTCAGATTTCAGGTATTTTTTTTTTATTGCACATAAAATACAAAATTAACACATAAAAATATGATTTTATTTCAAGATATTTCTCATATTTTGGTCTATTTCAAACATGTTTACTATTCTTTTGTGCCCTCAAAGCAAATGAAATCAACACATTTGCAGAAAAACAACCTAAATTCCACTGATGTCTCTTATCTGTGCTTTAAATTAAGGCTCCAAAACGCTCAACTTATACATATTTCTTATAATAATTGCACATTTCTGACCACTGTTAATGCTCAGATGAAGCACTTCATTTGTCCACCCCCCTTTCCCTGTTCTTCCTCTCTCATGAGATAACCCACAGACCCTGTTAGTCACATCTGGATTTGTGCAACATACAGTAATAATAAACCGACTGGTATCCACAGGAGACCTGCGCAGCCACGCGGTGGCGCCATTGACCCACCTGCAGCTTCCCACGTCTCACGGGAGGTGTGGGCCTCTCCTTCTATTCCTGGCAGGCCTCGCACAAACACGCTTCCACCGAGCTGTGGTCCACTCCTCCACACACAAGGAGCTAAAAGCGCTGCATCTGCTGCAGGATCATTGGCTGCATATGGGAGGAAACCTGGATGTGTTCATGTTTCTGCACCATATCTTTGGTGTTTTTTGAGCCATTTGAAGCCTCTTGGTGCTGGTAGCGATGGGATTTTAGGTGCATCCACTTGAATGTCTTCCTCATGGCTGTACGGAAACTAGTTTTCTGTTTTCTGGCTGCTTATTATAACCACAAGAGAGCTATTTATAACTCGCAGAGTACTGCATTGGCCTCATTTCCACTGATGTGTGAAATTATGCTGATGCCTATACATTTCTCTTTCATTTCCTCACCTTTTATTGCACCTTTCCTCTCCCCTCCTTCATTTGTCTCACCCCCCCGTCCTTCCATTTCAGACCCTGTATTTCCCTCCTTCCCCCTCCCCTGTGTGTGTTATTGAGCAGGCAGCAGGTCCAGGTTACAGCAGAGCTCTTCATCTTCTAAGAAACCAGCAGTGGAAGCCCCCATGAGTCACCACTTAAAGATGCACCCACGCTGACAGGGGTGTCACCCGCCCACCCACCTGCACCTTTCTTTTTTTTTTGTGCCATGTGCACGCTCACAGGCTTCATCTTTGACCCAGTGAAGTCTAAAAGTATGTCTCAGTATGTGTGTATGTGGACATGAATGATGATTATCTCATTTAGATCCACCAGAGAGAGATGGGGGGGTTGCCACACTGGCCTTGGGGAGTTTTTTTTTTGTCTCCCTGTGCTGTTGTAGCAGCAGGCTGGGAGACCTCTGCCTGTCTTAACGCATCTCTGTCCCCACCAGGGTCACACCACGCTGATGCGACAACCGTTGTCAACGTCATACCGTCTCCATAGCAACTGTGCCGGGCACAGCATCCCCAAGCAGATGTTAGAGGGTTAAGAGAGAGGAGCGAGAGTGAAAGGAAGAGAATGTGAAGCCGCTGTGATTTCTTTGCAGTGTGTGAATTTAATTTTTTTAAAAAAAAGGAGTCGACAGTTGTGATGGGAGATAAATGTGATTATTGGGATTCTTACTCTCACGGTGAAAACGCTAACATGCTGATGCTAAGTAGGTACAGTGTTCAGGCATGAAGAGGTGAAATGCGAAACCTATTTAAAATATATATATATGAAAAAATCTGCTTTATACTTGTGCTGCAGATCAGCTGGAAATGTTGTAGCCTTTCCTACGCAGGAACAAATGCTGAGATTTTTCTGCATTAAACTACCCAACACTATAAACAGCTAAAATGAGCTCTACCTTGACAACAGCAAATGGTTCCCCCCAGTAATCTGCTATTTATTGTAGTATAGGGCTCACATTTTCTGCACGAGTACTTCTACTTGCTAATAATACTTAGTTTCTAGTCCCTCTCTGGTTGTTGATTAAACATCTAAAACTTTACCTCCGTGCATTAAAATGACATATTTGTTTTCCCCATGATAACAATCCTCGTCTTCCTTTAAATCGCTTAGATGTAACTCTACATTACTGCCTCCTTGAGAATATGTGGCTCTATGAAATCTCTACTTGTCTCTCCTCTCGGTACTCGCTGCAGATGGAGCACACCAGCTCACCTTACAATCTGCTCAAGCTCTGTAAAGCTGCTCTTTGCTACGCAGTGGAGTAATCCAAGCGTACATGTTGGAAGAATATTGACATGGAATGCTTCACCCTGCAAACAGATGGGACTGGTTCCTCAGGTTTGTTAAATATAAAACTCCAGCTGTCTAAATCTGTGCTTTTGAGATGGTCATTGGTACACTGCAGTTTCACATCAGAAATGCTCAGCTATGGTGCTTATTTTGATATTCTAGTATTTAAAATTCGGCATACAGACATGTCAACGAGGTAAAAAAAAAAAAAAAAAAAGATTAGGTCTTTAAGAGGCAGTTTTAGTGCAAGGCTCTTAATTGCATTTAAATATTTCAGTATTGTTGCTTTCACTTAAGTAAAGGATGTGAAAACTTGCACCGCTGCTCTTAGCATGCTAACGTTTGCTAATCTGCACANTGAAAACTTGCACCGCTGCTCTTAGCATGCTAACGTTTGCTAATCTGCACAAGACATAAAGTAGGCCCATCGTAGGTTAGGCTCAGGATTGAAATGAATAGTAAAGGAATCACTATTTAAACATCTTTCATCCTCTGGGAACCATGAATGCCCGTACATAATTTCACAGCAATTCATCCAGTAGATGTTGAAATATTTCAGTCTGGATTGAAGTGACTGATCGGCCGACAGACCAACACTGATATTTCTCAGAGCCACACCACAAGCATGGCTTAACACAGGTGACTGAACCATGACACACAAGCTCAGTTGCAAAAAATAAAGAGCTGACAAATCAAAAAGACAAGAAACAGTCCTCAGTTCACATTTTTATTAGGAAAATCATTTTGCAGATTTGATTATTATTATCATCTATATATATATTTATATATATGTTAGTTTCAGTTATTCAGAGGATGCATCAGCACAGTATATCTTAATAGGAAGACTATTGCTAGAATAAATATCTATACATCATAATTAGTTAAATAAAAAAAAAAAGTCCCAACAGAGAAACAAACAAACAAAAAAAAAAACAAGAGAATCATTTACAAAAACAATAAGTGCCAAAAAAAAAAGGGAAAAAAAAGAAGAAGAAATAAACCATTTGCAAAACCAAAGCCATAAATGCTGCTGAGGAATTTATTTAAAAAATACAAAGATGATTCACAGTTTGTGTCCTTGTTCTCATGCTGGCTGGAACACCAATAGGGACCATGCAGGAATGAAGGGCCAGAGCGACAGGATAGTACCAAACTACGTTACCCACAAAGTCCAGGCTGTACGCACCTCCCCTGTCTGCAAAATCAGCTTGTGAGAGATCTGAGGCGATCAGACAAGATGTAAAGGGGTGAGCCAGAGAGGTCAGCAGGGTCAGTGGGAGTGTTTTTTTTTTTCTATTTCCATCCTCCAGCACTGATTTCCTTCCAGATCCTCTGACATGAAGCTCGACTGGACAGGACTGCAACCTGCCCCTCGCTGCTTGAAAACGAGCCTGATGCACCAGAAAAACCGTTTGTATTTTAAGGTTCTACTGACTGCTCTTTGTTTCAGCTTCACACGGCGTGAAGTTTCCCATCCTGCTATGGAAGAACACATGTGAACCACAATCCTCCTGCTTGTACGAGACTCTTCAGCAACATCACCGGGTCAGTATCCTGTTACTTCAACCGGTGGCAAACAACTGAGGTGAACTTCACCTGGTCCTGTACAAAAATGTGTAGATACGGAGGCCCAAACAGTGCTAAATAGATCAAATTGACACTATGACATAAATAATCATACAAATTATATTCAGAGTAAATATATAAATCAACCATGAAACGACATATTGTTGAATAAATATTTCTTTATGCTATGAAAAGTAGCATTAAAACCTGTAGTTATAAAGAATTTTAAATTGAATCATTTAAAAATTTCATGGTTATGTTACACATTTCATCTGTAGTTATTCATATGATTATTCATTTCATAGCATCTTGTTCATTCCTCTAATCTTGGACGTTTTTGGTCTCCATAGATTCCTCTCTAAAAGTCAATTAGTTGCCCTTTTTTTTTTTTGCAGGGGAAAAAGCCCAAACGTAAAAATCCGAGTAGCATTCGCATGAAGAAAGCTTTTTTACTATTACTGTCTCGCTTCTGATTGGACGCTTTGACTGTAAGAAGAAAAAAAATGCAGTGGAACCAACCACAGCATCCTTTGACTCTGCACGCTCTCCTCTCGCATCTCTGAAATATTAAATTCCTTTGAACACTATTTACAACTATCTACAATCCCGATGTGAGCAGGGGTCGGTTTTCAGTCTGTTCAAGTGCAAACCGACTCACAAACACACACACGCACAAAAGAAACAAACAAACAACAGTCGGTGGGATGAGTGTAAAAGAAGACTTCAGGGGGGCAGATTGATGGAGAAGCTGACAGAGGCGACTGTACGACAGCACGGAGAAAAAAAAAATCAAACAGCCAGCGAGCGAATGAGGTTTCACTGATGAGGCCTGTGTGAATGTAATATGTGTGTGTCTAAGTGTGTGTGTGTGCGACCGAGGACATGCAGTCAGTCTATTTTGCCTCCATGCCTGTTCTATAACGTGTGTGTGTGTGTGCTGTGCAGGATGACTCATGCAGAATGTGTAGGCATTCTCCACAGGGAAGCTTCAAACATCTGACAGACACTTCGTAAAGATGGCACAACAACAACAGCAGCAGCAGCAGCAGCAGCACACAAGCATGCACACATACACACTCATGCAGGCCAGAAAAAGAAGAAGAAGAAGAAAAAAAAAGGTGGTGGGATGCACTCACAGTCACACACACACACAGACAGTGAATATGCTTCATCTGTAAATGAGATGAGACAAGCCACGGGAGGACGGGGTTGGGTGGGAATGGTGGGGGCAGAGGTGTCTGTCCTGATTCTTTGCCAGCGTTTAACTCGCACAAACTCAGCTCACACACACACACACACACACACACACTCTCTCCCTCCACATGCACGCCATCTTCTTTTTCTCAGGCTCCCCACATGCACCAATACAGGCCACGGCTAGTGCAGTTGAACTTCATATTTTCACTCTAATAATAGAGCTGCTCCCTCCCTCGCTCGCTCCAGCTTGTTGTCCATACTGCTCATTGTTTTTTTTTCCCCTCTCTCTCTCTCTCTCTCCCTCCCTGCTGTATCATATTCCATGCAGGGACATGAACAATGACAGTCTCCTGTTAACGTCAGCAGAACAACAGATTGCACAAACATGCGCACGCAATCTGGCATTTGCGTGAAGCAACCAGACGTGTCAGGCCTGATATTTATGCAGCGTGTGCACTGCTGCCGGTAGCTGTACATCACATCAGACCGGGACCGGGTCTGGAAAATCGTTACAGGTCATTTTCAGCTTTTTTTTTTTTCTCCCCCCCTTCTCCTCCTCCTCCTCCCTTTAGATTTAGCGCTTGACATGGCCACATCATGTACTCCATCTACTAGTATCTGGCATCATATTCGGTTAAAAAAGAAAAGAAAAGAAAGAACTTAAGCTGTTTCACACGTCTTGTTTTTGAATGGATGATAAAAAAGGAACTCAAAGAGTGGGCATCCCTGGCATCTAACAGGTAAAGGGTACGTTTACAATGTAAATTCTTAACAGGACCTCACGTTAGTGCAAAATACAACACAGCAATAACAACGGAGTCATTCGGCTTTTCAAAATAAAACCAAAAGAAAGAGCCATGGAGTGGAACCCTTAGTTACATATTCACATTTTGCTAGTATTGTCTAATTGATAGATCTGAAGAGTGGATGTGTCAAATACGATATATCATGAGCATCATTATTAAGCTGTTATATTACAGTACATAGCAACACTGAACCTTCTACTGTAACAACATTTCCTGGTTACAAAGGACGTATTCCCAGAAAGACGGTATTTCTTTACATGGGTAACATCTTACTTGAAGCTGTTCAAAACATTTCATTGAACTACCGTTATGCTTTATTTACAATAACTACACGTCTGGAAATAGTTGTTTTGTTTTTAATGGAGGTTTTTTGGCGGGCGTGAACAATGCAGGCGGGACATTTTACATGGTGCTTAAAAATGAGGCGTCGCTGATTAATAAGCAAGTCTTCAAGTAAAATGTCACCCTTTAAAGTGCCCAGTTGTCGATCCTGCTGCACACACAAACACAGAGAAGGAGACAGACGAGAACAGTTGCTGTGCTTTTTCTTTTTTCTTTTGTTGTTGTTGTTGTTTTTCCAGAGAGAGAGAGAGATGGATACACAGTTAAAAGGGGTTATCATCTGTGTCTTTGGGTTTAACAGTACAGGAACAGATTATCCTCCACACATTTTTTTTTTTTTCTGTTGGTAAAACCGCCTGAGAGATGGAGAAAAGTAGACAAATAATCTGAAACCACCCCCTCCCTCCCTCCCTCGGCGTCCCACGATTCCTCCTGTGGAGTTTTGCTTCACGATACCCTGTTGTTCAGCAGAATCACAACCTCATTGTGCCGGACGAGTAAAAGCACTGTAGACTGAAAGCTACCCATGATGCAATTGTTCCTTTCGTGTTCAGGATCGGTGGGTAAAAGGTTAAAGATGAAAATTGCACTCCAAAAAAAAAAAAAAAGGACAAAAAATTAGAAAAAGAAACACACAAAAAATGTATAAATAGATATGTCGGTAAAAAGTATTGTGCTTTTGGCTGTCCTGTGTACTCTGTGTACAATATTCAGAGCTCCTGCGTGGGAGGAAAAAAAAAAAAAAAAGGGTGTGTATATGCACTTTGGACATTACAATAGAGCTTTAATGGCTCCTCTCTAATGCATAATGTAGGCAAAAGCATGGCAAATTAAAAGTGGTGTGTGTTTATGCTATAAAGTGCAATGTGAGGGCATTTAGGCCGAGCAAGCCCTGTTTGTCTTCAGTGTTACTCAGGTTGACTATCAGAGCTGCGTGTGTGATTTGTTTCTCCTTTTTT